TGCTACGAGGAATCTCTGAAAGTGATCAAGATAACAAATTCTGCTTTGAAATTGCTATTCTTTTAAAGGATGACATGAGCTAGCAATATGGAAGAAATAACATCCTTTGAAAACAGGCCTGGTGAGTATTCTAATAAATGACAAAACAGAACTAGTAATTTTATCTGTCAGTATTTTTTTTTAATTCCTATATTGTGGTATAGTTTGCAAAATCTACCAAGCTCTACAAACATGAATAATGTTACTAAAATATGGACTTTTAAAAAGCATTCTAGACATTGTTTTTTTCTTAGACAAATGTTTTGGTCAGACAATTAAATACATTTTTTTTTCTTTTAATGAATGGATTCCAAACATTACCGTGAATAAATTTGGAAAGATATTATGGGAATGTAAACATTAACTGCTTGAACTGTATACTTGCATAGTTAGACATTATAATTTAAGTTTTGTACTAAAATGCAATTTTATTCTCCCCAAATACTTTTTGAATATCAATTTATTATCAAAAATTAGTTTTTAGATAAAATAAACGAACTATGAATACTCATGGGACTTGCTGGAAAAAATGCTGTTCTTAATAGACAGATGACATTGCACCAGCCAAACAGCAGATCAAATTCACATTGGAAACCTATATAATTATGTATTCTACTTTCATTTAAATTATTTTACCCAGAAAATTGTATCACATTAATAACCATCATTCTATTACTTGGGATAGAAGCAGTACTTCATAATCTCTTATCTAGCTGTATGGCTATTAAAAGCTAAAGAAAAAAATCAAGCAAAGGAGAACTATCATAGAAGTACTGATAAGCTAAGGAACTACGTAAGGAATAAACTTAGATATCCCTGAATCCCCCAGCTGAATGCTAACTTCTAGAAATGAGGGCCATATGTATGATTTCTGGAACTGCATTTGAAACCATATGTGTGGTGCATTATCCAAATACCGATAACTAGAGAAAGCATGCAGGTATCCTTCCAGATGTGAAAATGGGTGGAGCTAATTCCCATCCATCTTAATATTTTAATCTCATACTATTTATATTGTAGTTTAATGACTGTGATTAATATGTGTGAACATAACCTCTGATGTGTGGGGCCCACATGCTATTTTGTGTATTGTGATTAGAGCATTTATATTTTACTCTTGGAGTACATTCCCAGAATAGCTAACAATAACTTCTGAGGACCAAACTAAAATACTACCGCTAGTGTCAGTATTGTAAAATAAATAATTTAAAGTAGCATATGAGAAGAAAACAGACTCAAAAAAGTACACTACTATGATAGCCAGTTTCAAGATATCTGGAAAAATAAAAATAATAGCCAATCACGACTTAGTAGACCTAAGATATATTGGTTTTAATAGTTTTAATGATTTTAATAGAAGAAAATATGTATAGCTCAGGACTGAACTGTGAAGTTCTTGGTGCTCTCAGAGCTTGGTTGCTCATTTGCAAATATTTCATTACCCAACTAGATAACATCATCAGTGCAAGCATTTGGGTAATGAAACACTTGCAAGCGAACAACCAAGCTCTGAGAGCACCAAGAACTCTATACTAGCTTTGCTCGTACATTACATTAAGCACAAAATTAAAGTCTTTTTTTTTTTTTAAAAAAAGGAAATATTCCTTCTGGACTTAATAATTGTACAAATATATCATTATATATCAGACCTGCATATGACATTGAATCTAAAGTGTTAGGAAATGTATCTGGTTTAAAACATAGGAAGTGACTTTTAACTGGCATAGGACACTCTTAGCATATAACGTGAGTAAATGTTATGAGCTAAAAATAAGCTTCCAGACATAATTCAAGTGTCTAGTTTTAATGTTTAAAGCTTGAATGGACAAGGCCCAGTATTTTATGAGCTCCGAATTTATCTTGCTTATTGAGACAGGATTATCCTTTGAATATTAATTTCCTGTGGACTAACTTTAACAAAGGCATTCCTAATGGAAACCGTCTCCTTGACGGAAGATTATAATTTGGAGCCACTGCTGACCTTTAGGAAATTGCTTTGTTTTGGGGAACAGTTTTTAAAACTTTGTTAAGTGTTGGATTTCATGACATTATGAAGTTAATTGCCAAAAGGTCTGAAATGCAGTCTTATGCTCAAGAGCCAGCTGAAAAATTATATAGATTGGATAGAAACATCACTATCAGACAAAACATAAATTATTATGGAGCCCACAGAATATCTCTGATATGCCAGAAAAACATTTCAGTGTCAGTAAAAGGGTTACAAAGTGAAGGAACAGTGAATAGGATGGGAGTGGGGATAACAAGGGAAGAAGCATGCTTATCCTATACCTGTGATGGTGAACCTATGGTACGCATGCCACAGGTGGCACGCTGCACCCTCGCTGATGCACACGAGCCGTTGCCCCAGTTCAGCTCCGCTGCGCATGCCAGATGGTCTTAGGGTCTCTGCCATGCATGCACTGGGGGCAGGGTGCATGTGGGGGCTGTGCACGCATGCAGGAGGCCATGTGCATTTTGGGGGGCTCGGGGGCACGCATGTACATTCGCATGTGCATGCGCTTTTGGCATTCGATCCAGAAAAGATTAGCCATCATTGTCCTATACCCTAAGGCATCATCTACATCAGCTCTTGATCTGGAGCAAAAAAAGTGATATTGCTATTAACTTCAACAGGATTTGGGGTTAAAAAAGTAATAATATCCACATTAATAATATTGCCTCGGCTGAATGTAAAGTAAATTTTATCAAATACCAAGACATCCCTATCCATATCTACGCCTCAAACATAATTCCTTTGCAGACATTTGCCTTGATAAACTGCTTTGCATAGTCAGAATGAATCTGTAATGTTCTTAAGGGGTGCTCAGTTTGTGATTGTAAAAGTTTAGAGAGCTCTATTGCAGACTAAATCATGTCCTGTAAAGGTCTAATGGTTTCCTCTATGTTCACATCTCCTTTTATTCATTTTAGCTATACATACTGTATATCATAACAGAGATAAGGTATGGGGCACCAGGCTCTCACATGCCTTTACTGTTCTCAAAGTGAAATTCTGTTGATGAGAACCAATAAAGCATCTTCTCTCCAAAACATGTCCCACAGTTTCAGCATTCAAGTAATTGTCATTTAGCAACTACAATTGTGACTGGCAACTTTGTCATTAAGCAAAGCAGTCACTAAATAAAAATGAAAATGTTCTTATGATCTTACCTAACCTAACCCTTTCCTTTGCTTTACAGAACTGCAAAAGTTGTAAATGTGAGGATTGGTCATAAAGCTACTTTTTCATCACCATCAAAACTGCGAACAGTCACTAAACAAAGCAGTTGCTAAATTAGGACTTCCTGTATTGTTCATGCTTCACTGTCTTCCATAGAAATGAACTGCAATCCAATGCAAAATACTTGGGAATAAGACCTACTGGACGCAACAGAAGCTTTTCGAGTATTTAGCATTGGATTGTACTCTCAGTGACTTCATGTGATGAAGTGATGGAAATCTGTAAGAATAAAACTTTTATGAATTATTGTGTGAAGGCAGTTCAAATTTATTTAAAACACTTTTATACTGTTCATCATGCCAAATTTGAGAGGAAGGAACAATATGAAATACTAAAATAGGAGAGTCAATAAAACTTAGCAGACTACAGTAAACTCTTCAGCTAGTAGCTGAATTTCCAATGGAAATAATTTACAGGAAAATATGCCTATTCATTATGGAGAGCACACACCAATTAATTAAGGGATTGAAATAGGAAAATAAATAAGTATTTAGACATTAAGTAATAAGCTGTTTGAAGCAGGATCTAACTGTCAACGATCCTTATGTAAATGAAATGCCTAAGTTTGACAGGAAGAATTTAAGAATGCAAGAAATAATTGTCTTCCTATGCGTGGAAAAAATTACAATTGTACATCGATGCTACTAGAGACCTTAGCAAGACAATGACATTCATCCAAGCTCAATCATTTACAACTATCTCACCCAGTTTCTGGGGTGGGACACAAGGATAGAATAAAATTAAGTACGGGTTCCTCAACCCCTGGCAGACAGCACAAGCAGTCCTATTTTATATTAAATAGAAGAAGGGCATCTTCCCATCAACCAATCTGTGTTTGCAAGGATTACTTTCCTTTTTCAAACAGCGTCGAAATGTGCCAAATGCTCGCTTAGAAGCCCGCATCCCTTCAAACTTAATATCAGTGGTGAAATCCAAATTTTTTTACTACCGGTTCTGTGGGTGTGGCTTGGTGGGAGTGGCAAGGGAAGGATATTGCAAAATCTCCATTCCCACCCCACTCCGGGGAAGGATATTGCAAAATCCCCATTCTCACCCCACTCCTGGGGGAAGGATATTGCAAAAATCCATTCCCATTCCCATTCCCCCCACTCCTGGGAAGGAAGGATATTGCAAAATCTCCATTCCCACCCCACTCCTGGGGGAAGGATATTGCAAAATCTCCATTCCCACCCCACTCCTGGGGGAAAGGATATTGCAAAATCTCCATTCCCACCCCACTCCAGGGGAAGGATATTGCAAAATCTCCATTCCCACCCCACTCTGGGGCCAGCCAGAGGTGATATTTGCCAGTTCTCCGAACCGCTCAAAATTTCCGCTACCGGTTCTCCAGAACCGGTCAGAACCTGCTGGATTTCACCCCTGCTTAATATGCATTTACTTGCATGAAAGGAAAGAAAACAACGCCCTTTGCTCTCCCCCACCCCCCGCTTCCTGCATTGGCCAAGTTCTGCGCCCCCACCCCACCCCCCAGCACTAAAATGCTTGAGACCGACGTTCCCTTCGCAGCCCCTTAGCTTACATCCTTAGCCGCCGCAGCAGAGAGAGAGCGAGGCGCGTCCTGCCTTCCTCCGGCGAGCGAGAAGACGCCGGGCGCCTGGGCAGTCCGCGGCCGCCCCTTCGAAGGAAGGCGGAGCCGGCGGCAGGAGAGCACCGCCCTCACCGCGGCTTCAGCCTAGGAGCCGAAGCGCGCGCAGGAGGCGAGCCCGTCCGCCTGTCCGCCCGCCGTCGCCTTGACGCGCCTCCCTCTTCTTTTGCCGAGTTTGACAGGAGTTCCGACGGGGCTTTTTTCGCCGCAGGTCCGTAGAGGAGGGAGCAGCCGCTCACGCCGCCAACTCCAGCCGGGGCTCCCCTCGCCTGGCTCACTCCCCCCGCCCACTCGCCAGAGAGGCAAGGAAGCCGATCTCGACCCGGCGACCAGCTCTCCTCGGACGGCATGTCAGAATCCAGATCCCAGAGCACGGCGGCGGACAAGGAGTCTTCCAACCTGGTGGTAGGGCTCCTTTTGCTGGCCGTTTCCTCTTTGGTCTTTCTTTCTTTCTGTCTGTCTGTGACTGTCCCTCACTTTCTGACGCCCTTTCCTAATTCTCCCTCTTCTTCCTTCCCCCCCCCCCATTTGCTTTCCCTCCTGGCTGACCTGAAATCCCTGCCCTTGTTTCTCTCCCCCCCCCCTTCTCCTCTTTTCTGCTTTCCTTGCCAGGCCCAGCTGTTTGGGGGGCTGCGTTGGGGCCGCCTGGAGGAGCCCCTGGGATTCATTAAGGTGCTGGAGTGGGTAAGTTTGCTCTTTCCGTGTGCAACTTTTCCGCTTTTGCCTTCTCCGCTCCCCACCCCCCACCTCTCCCCCCCCACCCCTCGACCTGGTCCCCAGCCTGGAAGGGAAGGATGACAATGTGCTAAAACTGTTGCCTTGGTGAAGTTTCATCAAGGGAAGGGGCCACACGAGGCAGGGAAATTGGACCTGGGTTGTGTGAAGGAGCCGGTTGAGCTGAAGGGGAGTGCCTTCTCGGGCAGTCCTTCTATGTGCAAAGGAGTCTTATGGACTTGGGGTATGTATGGGAACAGTGGTGAGCTGCGCTCACATTTCACTCAGGCGGGTTTAACCTTTTTGGAGCTCTGATTCTGCACATACCACGCCTTAACTTGTCCCTGAGCTCACAAATTCTCTCTCTTCTCAGCCTTCCCAAGAGGAGATTAGAAACTCTGGATTTATTTAGTCCAAAGCACAGACCAAGCGCCAGAAGACTCCCCTCCAAGGCTGTATTTTTGTGTGTCTCTTTTCACGGGAGAAGAGCATTTCAATTTCAATTTGATCGCTAGGAACACTTTCAGGTTTCTACCCTTTTTAATAAAAAAGTTAGAGGGGAAAACTGAATAAGCCTTAAAGGACCCAAATCGACTTTCTATTTCTTAAAAAAAGAAAAGAAAAAAGAAAAACCCACTTCCTTTTTTTTTTTTTTTTTACAAAATCCTGTTTTATATTATAAACATCCAAAGATAGCACTGTTATTGAGTAACATGCTGTACCACCATTTGTTCTATCTTTAGACAATAGTGGTATTACTTAAATGTGAAGAATACGTTTTGTCAAAACCATAGAGTTAATGATTCTAATTTGTATAATTGCACAAAGCGTGTTCAATACAGGTTCAGAATCTGAAAAGCATCAGGGAGGAACTGAGTGATAAGGGGAAAAAAACTTGAGCTAAAGCATTCTATCTAAGTGTGCAGCAGATTTGGATGAGTTTAAACTTCTGTGAAAACACATCTCAAGTACTTTAAAGATAATGCAAGTGGGTCCCCTGTAAATGGCAAGGACTTGTCTTTGCATGATGCATGGCTTGAGGACAGCAATATTTGCATTGCTATATGAAGATTCTGGTCATGGCAATTTTGTGCATTGAGTGACTGGTTAAAGCATTAGATTGTGAGAATAAACTAGCTCTAAAATCTAATGACGAATGGCACAAGTGGCCTTCCATTATACATCAAGACATTATTCTTCTTAGATATGCAATATAAGTAGCTGTTTGGGTCTTCCTTCATTGTTTCAAATGTGTGCATAGGCTTCTTTCACAGTCTGTGATTTTTTATTATGCTGTGTTGCTGCCTGACAAGGTCTTTAGATTCACTAAGCATTTTCAGATCTCGCTACACTTTTTTGCATTGTGATAAGACATTATATCAATCATCTCAAGAAGCTTCCATTTTAGAACATAGGCTAAAATTAGCATATGTTTAAAAAAGCAAGAAAGTTCTAATGACAAAGCTCCTTAGTAAAAGTCATAGTGACTGTATCTTGAAAGGATTCCTTTGTCCTAACAGATCTGTTCATTTTATTCAATGATAATGTCATAGCTTGGGAAATGTTAACTACTGAAGAGCCAAAACCAGATTTTTCATGTTTTATTGAGTACACAGAGGTATTTTTCATGATAGGTGGCTGTACACACTGCTTGCAGGGGTACGGATAGTATTTCCTGAATACAGCATTTTCTTTTCTATATAGAAGCTTTTTTCTCAATTATATGTTTCACATCTAGCAAAATATTTGAGAGCCATGCTAGTTCTCTTTTTCCTGTATAGATAGAAAAAATAGTTGGCTCTAAATTCTTTGAAGTCAGCACTTAAACAGTTGCTTTGGGATAAGTCAGTACCGCTGAGAGTTTGAGCCTGATTTTTCCCCTGGTGCAGAAGTAGTGTTGAGTGCTGTCATTAGCTGTTACGTGAAATCTGGAATTACGGATAGTAATTACAGATTTCATGGAGTACTGGAGCTCATGAAAGCAAAGTCAGTATTGGCTGCCAGTAAACATTTCTGGATAAACTTTATTAAATCAAGACACAGGTAGTCCTCCACTTACAACAGTTCATTTAATGACCGTTGGAAGTTACAACTCACGATCATTGCAGCATCCCCATGTGATCGACATTCAGACGCTTGGCAATTGATTCATATTTATGAGGGTTGCAGTGTCCTGGGGGTTATGTGATCTCCCCTTTCAACCTCCTGCCAAGCAAAATCAATGGGGAAGCCAGATTCACTTACTAACTGTGTTACTAACTTAACAACTGCAGGGATTCACTTAACAACTGTGGCAAGAAAGATTGTAAAATGACCCAACACTCACTTAAGCCACAGAAACTTTGAGCTCCATTGTGGTTGTAAGTCAAGGACTATCTCCTGGTTTATTAGGATAGTAAAAAATGAGAGTCTGGCAGATTCAGTAGCTTTTTTTCTGAGCTTTTTATATTATATTATAATTTTGTTGCAACTGTTACTTTTAGTTGATGCTAAACATCATTTTATTTATTTATTTATTTATTATTTAAATTTCTATACTGCCCTTCTCCAAAATAGGACTCAGGGCGGTGAACAGCCAAAGTAAAAAACAATACATACAAAATTTAAAAGCAGTTTAAAATAATTAAATATTTTGGCCATAAATTAAAACAACCCAATTTAAAATCAATTTAAAATTAACTCAAGCCAGCCCAGCTAGTTGAAATAAATGGGTTTTCAGGGCCCGACGAAAAATCCGGAGGTCTGTTATTGTACGTATCTCTGGGGGAGGTTGTTCCAGAGGGTGGGCGCCGCCACAGAGAAGGCTCTCCCCCTGGGAGTCGTCAGCCGACATTGTCTGGCGGACGGCACCTTGAGGACGCCCACTCTGTGCGAGCGTACTGGCCGGTGGGAGGCTATTGGTGGCAGAAGGCGGTCTCGTAAGTACCCCGGCCCTAAGCCATGGAGCGCTTTAAATGTGGTCACCAACACCTTGAAGCGCACCCGGAAGACCACCGGGAGCCAGTGCAGCTCGTGCAGGAGAGGTGTTACATGGGAGCGCCTCGTCGCCCCCATAATCCCCCACGCGGCCGCGTTCTGGACCAGCTGGAGCCTCCGGGTGCACCCCAGGGGGAGCCCCATGTAGAGAGCGTTGCAGTACTCCAGGCGGGAAATGACGAGTGCCTGAGTGACTGTGCGTAGGGAGTCCCGATCTAGAAAGGGGCGTAAATGGCGTATCAGGCGGAACTGATAAAAAGCCCCCCTGGCCACGGCCGTCAAATGATCTTCTAACGACAGCCGTGCGTCCAGGAGGACGCCCAAGTTACGAGCCCTCTCCGTGGGGGCGAGTGATTCGCCCCCAATAGCCAGCAATGGCGTCAGCTGGCTATATCGGGACGCCGGAAGCCACAGCCACTCGGTCTTGGAGGGGTTGAGTCGGAGCCTGTTTCTCCCCATCCAGGCCCGCACGGCCTCCAGGCACTGGGACATCACTTCAAGGGCATCGTTGGGGTGGCCTGGGGTGGAGATGTACAGCTGGGTGTCATCAGCGTACTGATGGAACTCCACCCCGAAGCCACAGATGATCTCACCCAGCAGCTTTACATAAATGTTGAACAGAAGGGGCGAAAGGACCGACCCTTGTGGCACCCCACAAGCAAGGTGCCTCGGGGTCGACCGCTGCCCCCCTGTCAACACAGATTGCGACCGGTCAGAGAGGTAGGAGGAGAACCACCGCAGAACGGTGCCCCCCATCCCCAACCCCGCCAACCGGTGCAACATGATACCATGGTCGATGGTATCAAAAGCCGCTGAGAGGTCTAACAGGACCAGGATAGAGGAGCAACCCCTATCCCGAGCCCTGCAGAGATCATCCACCAACGCGACCAATGCCGTTTCCATGCTGTGCCCAGGCCAGAAGCCGGACTGGAGCGGGTCTAGATAGACAGCTTCATCCAGGTACCGGGGAAGCTGTTGCGCCACCACACTCTCAACAACCTTCGCAACAAAGCGAAGGTTGGAGACTGGACGATAGTTAGCCAAAACAGCCGGATCCAGAGAGGGCTTCTTGAGGAGGGGCCTCACAACCGCTTCTTTCAAAGCGGCCGGCAGGACCCCCTCACTCACTATTGGCCATGGATTATCACCTCCCCTTGATGTCCAGATGTACTCAGTGAATGACCTTCGTGCCCTGCGAGATTCCCCCCTCTCGCAGGTTTGGCCCTCTTCATTATCGAGGGCCTATCTTGATGACGGGCGTTGGAGCCCCGAGAGATGGCATGCAGCAAAGAAGAGTTTGAGGGGTTTTTTAAGTGGGTTTTTTAGTGGGTTTTTAACAAAAATTTTAAGGGGTTCGGGGGGGATTAGGGTGGGTTCTGGGGGAAATCCACCGGGTTCAAGACCAGCCTTAGCGAAGGGCTGCGACATTAGGGACGTAGAACCAGAGGTTGGGGAGGGGGTTGGAGTTCGATTTGAAGAGGGCTGTTCCATCAGCATAGTGAGTGGGAGGGGCAGATATGGCGGAAGCTGGGGACCACATCATGTTCGGGGAATGCGCACTCGCTATCTTAGAGCGATTGCACACTCCGGTCCCCAATGCTTTTCTCATTCCCCAGGCTGTCCAGATTCTCAGGGCCACAGCCTCCGGCTGATGTTATGCAATGCCAGGTCCGTTGTTAATAAAGCCCCCCTCATTCATGATCTTATTCAGGAGGGGGAGGCGGACCTAGTGGGCATTACGGAGACCTGGTTGGGCCAGGAGGGGGGAGTTCCCCTCGTGGATATATGCCCACCAGGCTTCCGTGCATTTCATCAGCCGAGGGCTCAGGGCAGGGGCGGGGGGGTGGCGGTTATTATAAAGGAAGCTCTGGATCCAAGGGAGACCACTGTTCCACAGATAGCCGGATGTGAGTCCCTCTTTGTAAAGTGGGGTCGTGGAGTACAGGTGGGCTTGTTGGTCACGTACCTGGCTCCCTGCCACGTGGCAACGGCCCTGCCCAAGCTGCTTAATGTTATAGCCGAGGTGGCAGTGGACACCCCCAGACTTGTTATTATGGGGGATTTCAACCTGCCATCTATCGGTGAAACGTCTGAGGTGGCTCGAGAGTTCATGGCTTCCATGATGGCCATGGACCTTACTCAGTTAATTCATGACCCCACTCACACAGGGGGACACACTCTGGACTTAGTTTTTGTCTCTGGTCAGTGGTTGAGTGGCCTTGATATAGGGGATATAGCCATCGAACCCTTGTCATGGTCTGACCACTCGCTCCTTCGACTGGACTTTCTAACCGCTGCACCCCGCCGCAGGGAGGCGGGACCGACCAGGTGGTTCCGCCCCAGGCGCCTGATGGACCCTGATAGGTTCCAGATGGAGCTTGGGCCATTTCCTGAGACTCTGGCTCATGACTCGGCTGAAGACCTGGTGGCTGCCTGGGATAGTGCGGCTGCCGGGGCCTTGGACCGTGTCGTGCCTTTGCGGCCTCTGACCCGGCACCGAACTCACCTAGCTCCTTGGTTCTCCGAGGAGCTTAGGGAGATGAAGCGCCGGAAAAGACGCCTGGAGAGTAGTTGGAGGACCAGCCGCTCCCAATCTGACCGAACACTGGTGAGGTCTCATATTAATCATATAATTTTGGTCTCTTCCAACACTAGCATCTGCTTTTATATACTTATTATATACCTTCCTACAGCGGGGTGTCAAACTCGCGACCCACAGGCCGGATGCGTCATGTGCTGGCCACGCCCATGCCCGGTTTAGCGAAGGAGAAAAAAGTCACAATACGTCAAATGACGACATGAGTTTGATATCCCTGCTGAGCTTTGCTTATTACAAAAGTCATGTGTATCTCTGAATAGAATGGTGTGTTAAATATGAATAACTCTATCAGCTTCAAGCACATTCTTATACTGTGGATTTCACTTTTTGGGTGGGGATTGATTTTATGTAGCTCCAGGCAATTTATATTGAAACAAAATATTTTTGATATATGTGGCATAATTGTTCTTTGTCCAATAATTAGGGGCAGACTTTAGTAAAACCATTTAGCTTTCTATTGGAGCTGATGGAATTATTTCACTTACTTTTCTGAAAGATGCTTTTTTTAAAGCTATTAGTTATATCTAAGGATTCTAATACTGCTTACTATCCTGCAAAAAAGCAAGACATCTTGCCTTTTTTTTTTTAATTTGATGCTTTTTCTCTTATAGAAGTTGAGTATAAACCTGGATATTTTTTCTGCAGTGTTGGCTCCCACAAGCTATTTCTTTTCTTTCAATATTTTGTTTAATCTATCCAAGAAAACATGCAACTTTAAAAAAATTGATCAGATGTGTGTATTGCTTACAAATAGTTTTTTCAAAGGTTGATGTGCATTGATGATTGATGTGGTTTTATTTAAACCCTTTTTATAAACCTTGGTAGTTGTATGCAATTTCTGCGGTCTTGGGATTGTTCACAGGAGTTGGTAAATGTGTTGTCTTGTTTAGACAAGTTTTTTTTTTCCTATTGATTGTTAACAGATTTAATCCTAAACTCTTCTCCCCTTTTTCTTCAGCTCTTTGCCATTTTTGCCTTTGGAGCCTGTGGTTCTTTTAGTGCAGAAACGGGGGCTACTGTGAAATGCACCAAGCTTCCCAAGGAGACAACTGCTATTACTGTGCAGTTTGGATATCCTTTCAGGTAAATGAAAAGCTGACTGAGTACAGATATAGAAGATATAATGTGAAACTAAACACTGTTGGTAATAGCCTCTGATAAAGGGGAAATGGTTAATTTATATTTCTTAGAGTTCTTTTTATGAAGATATCCGTAAACCTTTTTCAGTGACAAGTAATTCTTTAACTAGAATTGCTCAATATCGTAGGCTATTTTTCAAACCATTCCTCTGGAATTGCCTTCAATCTCTTAACTACTGATTCAAAATAAATTGAATTAAGCAGTGAATGAATTGTATCATTATTACAACAATGGCTGGACATTGCTCTGCATGGTGTTACATTCAGAAATCTCACTTAAGCATGTTAACTTGGATGTGCTATTCCCCCCCCCCCTTTTTGGGGGGGTTTGTTTTTTTAAATGCCTCTAATTTGTCAGATAACTTTTGAGATTTTTTTTAGTTTTCAAAGTGATTTGTCATGCAGCATAGAGTATTACTACTCGGGAACCAAGGCCAACTGTGCCTTGATTGCACATAGCAGATTTTATAGAGCTCTGTATCCCTTTTCTTTTTTCCAGAGATTTGGAGACTGTTTGTGAAGGAAAATATAATTCATCCAAGACACTAGTGTATGCATGCCACAATAGGAACCACTTCTGATCCACTATTCAGATGCAGTGGTCAGCCAAGTGTCTATTGGATCTTTGATGGTTGAAAAAAAATTCAATGACTTATATAGTATAAATAAGATGCATTCCATATATTGGAATATTCCCACATGAGAAAATGTTTGTTACTTAACACTAAGAGTGAATTAGAAAATGCATTGACCTGCAGGAAGAAGAGATGCTGTGATTTCCCGAAAACTTTGTGGGTAAAGAAGTTAAGCCAAATGTATTATTTTCTGCGCCATTATATCTAGAAGTATGCCGTCTGTTATTTTGTTTGGGGATATATTTGCTCAGTTCTGACAGCTAGAAATGAACCTTCCCTTCTCCCAAAACTTCAGAATCTCCAAGAGGAGTTTATCCTCACTAGAGACCTATTAAGACAAGGCAGCGTTACCACCAGCTTACACCACTGCATCTATTTAAAAAGGGCTCATGTCTGAAATATCTTGGTTAGAGACAACCAGAGGAGGTGAGAATTCTGTTTCTAGCTGGGTACCTTGCTTCCAGATCGGCATTATCACCCAGAATGGCAGGTGGAAAGCCCAGCTGCCTTGCACTTGTATTTCAGCATGTTGCTTAGGAGTAGTTTAATTCCTTTCCGCCACACCCCCACTGTGGTTTCAAATACATTAAATTGTATTTCAAATGATATGAGGGGGAGAGCTGGATAAAAATAATATTGTCTAAAACTTTGAGAGCACCACACGAGCAATTTTCATTGAGGAGTTTAAGCAGATGTCAATTGAATTTATGCACTTTATGGCTGTACTCTGTGGATTAACACCGGCAAATCAGAGTGTAGCAAAGTTGTATCATCTGAATTAAATTAAAATAACGATTACGGTACAGCAGTTCTGAATTGTTGTTTCTCTTTCTCCTTTGCCCTTACTTCCAGATGAGCGTTGCTATAGCAGGTTACTAGCTGTGTAGGAAACTGCTGTGTAGCCAGAAATACAATAAAGCATGTTGAAAACTCTCATTTGCTTTGAGAGGAAAAGGATTTTTTTTTTGTTACACACTTAAAAGCAGCAGCTGACCTGATATAGCTGTCATTTATTGAGGGGCATATAAAGCAGTAAAAAAATATCAGCAGTTCTTTATCTAAATCTTAGTGATCTAAGATTTGGTGGCCTTTGTGATCAGTGCCACTGCCAAAAACAAGAGGCAGCATTGGAGTATGCATAATATCCTTAATTTCTTTTTGGTATGCCAGATCAGATAAAAGGTTATATTTTTCTGGAGCACAAATCAACACTACGAAAACTTTCTACATTACATGTAGATGCTACCATAAGGCTTTTGGATAAACAGAAACAAGATCTAAGTTGGAATGAAATCAGTGCATGAAAGATCTAACATGGTTATATCTGTGTGCATCTTTCCCTCCCTGCCAACATCTGATAGCTATAAATAGAGGCATGTCTGTGAAGTATTTTAAAATGCCTTTGACAAGAAGGGGAACAAATTGGAAGGGTTGTGGTGGTACTGGCAGTGACAGTTCAAAACAAAACACAGTATCTTAATGAATTGTATATGGGTTGAAAAACATTTTAGGTGGAATAGATTCCTCGCTCCCCATCCTTTGAGGCCCCTTTGTCTCTTGAATTCAGAATTATGTTAGACATGGTTGCCAAGGATATAAACCTCTTTTCTCATAGATGTATCTTCATTGCAAGAAATTCTGTATATGCATTGTCAATTGTTAAACTATCATTACAATAAACGCATAAATTATGGTTTGCAACAGGGAAATCTCAAATAAATTCTTCTCCTTTATATTTTTTCCAAGATGTGTGTTCAATAGAAATCATGCTAAAAATAATACGGAAGTAGAATAAGGCAATCCGTGATGTGATACATGGATGTGTTGGAAGCAAGGAGAGCTTGCAAATACAGAAAGTTATTATATGCACTGGGAAATTAGATTTAGCTGTATTTTTTCTTAATTCATGCTTTTATTTTTTTTTTACTTTTTAAAATGTTTACATGTTTACATAACTTTACTTACTCCAACATATAAATGTTTATATGTTTACATAACATTACTTACTCCAAAAGGGTTTCTTCATATATAAATTGAAAATTTTAGAGCATCATCTCTTTAACCCATTAATTCTGTTAAACTTTTTCAAAGAAGGTTTAACTACTTTTTAATTCTCACTTATTAAAATTGGTAATAGAGTTTGAAAGAATTTGCCAAACAATTGTATTAGTGTTGTTATTGGCAAGAAAACTTGATTTATCATAAAGTCTTAGATGGATGTACACTAAACAGGACTGGATAGAATATGAGGTAGTCTCATAAAATCTGGAGTCAAGCTGTGTTGATCAGAATTTTTTTTCAGACTACTGTTTTAAAAAATTTGCTGCTTGGGACTTTTCATTTTTGTCTCTAAGAAAAATGTTTAAAACCTGCAAAATATTTTTAACAAAGGTGGGAATGAGGCAAATATATATTTCCCCCATGCAGATCTCTAGATGTTGGAGATATCCTGCAGCCTAATTCTTCTGTACTAGGTACTCAAATTACATTTAAGCTGTTTCTCTTGCTTTCGTTTTCAATTTGACCAGGTTGTATAAAATCCCATTTGATATGCCAGATTGTATCGAAGGATCAACTGCTAAAAGAGTGCTGCATCTCATGGGAGACTTTTCTGCACCAGCTGAATTCTTCGTGACCTTGGGGGTTTTTAGTTTTCTATATACTATGGCAGCTCTTGCAGTATATCTGCGATTTCACTCCCTCTATAAGGAGAATAAGAAGCTACCTTTTGCGGTAAGATCTCAAGTTTGGTTTTCAAGCTCTTTAGATTTCAAGTATTGCATCACAGAACCAGTTCTATACAAATGCAATTAATTTAAAGCAAACTCCATTAAAAATATGATTGTTTCTGAATATGAAATCCGAGAAAAAGGGTAGAAAACTCCATTATGTACATTTACAGGTAGTCCTTGTTTAACCAGGGATCAAATTAACATTGGCCTCATTGCAAAACATCACACACACACACACACACACACACACACACACACACACACACAGAGAGTCACATAATTGCAGTCTGGTTGTTTGGCAACCTGTTCACATTTATATTCACAGTTGCCAAGTGCTATGCAATAATGTGTTCACCATTTGCAATCTTCAATGGGAAAGACAGCAGGAAAGGTTTCAAGCTGCTGCTGCCTGCCAAAACTCCCTCTCCCCTCTGGGGGCTAGCTGAAAGAGCCTGCTTGCATGGAGCTGAAATCCTTCATGTCTGCTTGCATGGAGCTGAAATCCTTCATGCCTGCTTGCATGGAGCTGAAATCCTTTAGCAGGGAGCTCTTTCACCCAGCCTGCAAAGACAAGAGGGGAGCCAAAATCCAAGCAGGATTTTCAGATGCTGATTGGAGAGGAAGCACAGTAAAGCAAGGGGTGTGGGTGCCTCAGGAAGGTAGGGGAAAGAGCCTAGGAGGCTTGGTGTAGGTTGCGTATGAATATCTCTCTGCTCAGAGGCTGAAAATCCTGCTTAGATTTCAATAGGGAGGATCTTCAGCTCCTGAATGGAGAGACACTTGTGCAGAACCCACAATGGATCTCCCAGGGTTTCCCCCAGCCCCAAGTTACCCCATGCTCCTTAACTAGGACTTTGACCATTGAACAACCATAAGATTGCTTAATCACCACAACTGGAAGTGCCAACATTGTTGAATGAAGCAGTCATTATATTTATTTGTTAAATTATTTGCCGCCTATCTCACCATGGGGTTACTCAAGGCAGCTTACAATAATAAAAAGGGAGACAAGGAAAGGAGTGTAGATGGAATAGAAGTAAAATAATAGAACAATGAAATAAACAATGGCAAAGGAACACAACAAGAATAAAATATTAATACGATAACCAAACAGGTGGATGGGTGGAAAACAGAGAGCAAGGGAGATGGGGGGATATGGAGTCTGCCATCAATCTAGCAGTCCCTTCCAGTGTAGAACTCCTCCATTTGGTCCCCAGACAAAACCAGGTCTTCATGTCATGTGATGACTTGTTTAGTAACTGCTTTACTCAATGTCTGAGATTTCAGTCCCAATTGTGGTTGTTAAGTGAGGACTACTTGCATCCAGTTTTGAAGTCCTGCCCTCTTTGTTTTGTATTTTTCTTGATCTTGGAGTACTAGCACAAGAAGAATCAACCTATGCAACAGTATTATCACCTGATTCATGTGATGCGCTTAGCCTGGATTTGCTTATCCATGATTTGTTGAATAAGCTACAATTGGTTTATAAACCAATAATAGCTGATGCAGCAGCAAACAAACTATATTATGACTAGGTGCAGCATGTGTACCAGGGGTGAAATCCAGCAGGTTCTGACAGGTTCTGGAGAACCGGTATGGAAATAACACCTCTGGCTGGCCCCAGAGTGGGGAGGGAATGGGGATTTTGCAATATCCTTCCCCCAGGAGTGGGGTGGGAATGGAGATTTTGCAATATCCTTCCCCCAGGAGTGGGGAGGGAATGGGGATTTTGCAGTATCCTTCCCCTGCCACACCCACCAAGGCACGCCCACAGAACCGGTAGTAAAAAAAGTTTGGATTTCACCACTGGTGTGTACCTTACTTACTATGGAGTGGAGTGATCATTGTTAGCCTACAAATAGTATGAAATAACAAGCATGTCTGATTAAAATAAATGGTCTGCCCTCTCATTTGGGCATGAGCATTTTGGATGAAGGGATATAGCAGAATGGAGCTACTGTCATGGAGTATACTAACCATGACTCTCTCTCTCTCTCTCTCTCTCTCTCTCTCTTTCCCCCCTTCATTCAGGACTTCTGTGCGTCTGTCTCATTTACCTTCTTTTGGCTAGTGGCATTTTCAGCTTGGGGCAAAGGTCTATCGGACGTGAAAGGAGCTACACGGCCTTCCAGCCTTATTGCAGCCATGTCAGTATGTCAATTCAAAAATGCAGTGTGCAATGCTGGGGCCACTCCTTCTATGGGTTTGGCCAACATCTCTGTGGTAAGAGTTGCCTGGAAATAATGTAATGATTGGGGATGGGGACCTTAGCTGCACTATGGTCAATATAGTATCATTCCATTTTTTTAACTAAATCAAAGGCATTCTGACAACCAACGGGGTAGTCTGTTAAGTCTTATTCTGCAGTAACTCTGAAATTATGCATTGAAAGAGAGTGAGCAAACACCATCGTTTTTATAAACAGAAACTTCTGTTTAAGTTTGCTCAACAAGCAGCTGCTAATCAAGAGAAAGGCAAATCATAGTGCAGTGATGGCTAACCTTTTTGCCATTGTATGCCAGGAGGAGGTTCTCGCGCGTGCGTGCCCACACCCATAATTCTATCTGCCCTGCCCTACGCATGCACACGCAACCCCCCTCCCCCCCGCTCCTGGCACGTGATGGCCCAGTAGGCCCGTTTTTCTTTCTCACCTGGCTCCAGATCCTCTCTATGCATCGGGGGAGGGCGAAAACAGTCTTCCCCACCCCCTCGGAGGCCCTCCAGAGGCCTGAAACGGCCCATTTCCCAACTCCCAGTTGGACAGGAAGTGACTTTTTTGCTGTTCCCCAGCCTCCAGAGACTCCTAGAGAGGAGTTGGGAAATGGGCCATTTCAGGCCTCCGGAGGGCCTCCGAGGGGGTGGGGAAGGCTTTTTTGCCCTCTCCAGATGCATAGAGAAGATCGGGAGCCAGGTGAGAAAGAAAAACGGGCCTTCCCCACCCCACCAGGCCCTCTGGAGGCAGGAAACAGCCTGTTTCCCTACTTCTGGTGGGCCGAGAAGGCCTGAAAATCAGCTGGCCGGCATGCGCATGCGTGCCAGAGCTGAGCTGGTGTGCCCACTGATATGGCTATGGCACAGATGGCACGCATGCCATAGGTTTGCCATCATGGTCATAGTGATTAAAGAAGAATCAAGAATAGCATAAGCATACAAACATAAGTTTAGTTTAGTATAGTTATACTAAATACTTTGTCATTGCACATTACAACTAAATTAAATGCCGTCTTCAGTGTACATTATAACTATAAAAATAAAAACACAAACATACTTCCTTTATATTCTATATAATTGGAATTGAAAACCTGATATTGCACTATAGTACTATACCATAGAATTCAATATGGTTATTGCCCTGGGATAGAAGCTGTTTTTCAGCCTATTTCTCCTTGTTTTTATTATCCAGTACTGTCTGCCAGATGGTAATAGTTCAAAAACAGGGTGCCCAGGATTAGATGGATCTTTAAGAATATTTTGAACTTTCTAAGAACTTTATAAGAACGTATTTCTAAAAGATTACAGTTTAAAACATGGTCTTTTAACATTTAAAAGGAAATATTGAAAAACAACAGTGTGTTTAAAATAAAAGCCAGGCAATAGAAATTATTTGTAGAACCTTAGTCATCAATACAAATATGCCTAATAAAAACAACAGTAAAAATGTTACTTGGAAGAGGTACGTTTTTAACACCCTTCTGAATACGTATATTCCTTGGGAAGTATTTAAAATACACTACTACCCTCCGAGGCAGGAGAAAAAGAGAGGACTTTCCCTGCTTATTGTAAGCATAACCTGACCCTAAACTGGGTGGGGTTTATGTGCTACTGAATACAATCATTATTATTAAAATTCACATATGAGGAGTATTAGCACTTGATTGTTCAGTGGATAAAGAACAGACAAATAGACAGAATATCCAGTCAAGGCAGAATAATTTTGTAATGGACAGGCCGATTTCAAAATTATGTTCCTCTATGACTTTGGATCTCATAAACATAATATGAGACAGTATTGCTATTGCATATGAACATGTGTAAACCAAACAGAAGTTCATTGTTTTTCTGTTCTTTAATCATTGTGAAAATCTGAACAAGAGGGCATTAAAAAGTACTGAACTGACTTTATGTAAGCGTTCAGCATTCACCTATAACTGCTTTGTATTAACTACGCACTTCTCGTTTTCTTCCTCAGCTGTTTGGTTTTGTCAACTTTATACTCTGGGCTGGAAATTGCTGGTTTGTTTTTAAAGAAACCCCTTGGCATGCACAGACCACCAACAAGGAAAATTCTGCTGAACAAGGGGCTGTTGATAAGCAATAAGGAAACCCCACCCCCATTGAAGCCTTCTTCCCCCCCCACCCCAAATCAAGAACATGCAGTTTCTTTGCTCATCCCATGCAGGAAATGTGTCTTCTCTGCCATTTTTGCTACTGCTCAGCAGTCATATTGGCTTCCCTTTGTGACTGAAATGGGAGGCCTTTCTCCAGCTGCAATCATTTGGTCTTCTTGTGGTCGTAGATACACAGACTGTTCATAGTTACAACAAAACTCTTCTTTATTTGGATTTTTTATAAGCATATGCTACTGTACATTTTCACATTAGTCACCTATCTTAGGATGTGTGGCAATATGTCTTTACTGATGACTTTTATCATTATCTTTTTTTAAACGAAGCCAGTAGAGTTGAATAAGAACCTAGAGAAAACCAAATAATTAGAACCACAGAACTTGGGACAACGAAGTGCCTTAGAGAGAAAATATGTCTACTTTGTAACTATAAGAGCCTTGGTGGCGCAGCAGACTAACGTGCTGTTAAGTAGCACAGCTGCCTGCAATTACTGCAAGTTTAAATCTCACCAGGCTCAAGGTTGACTCAGCCTTCCATCCTTTCGAGGTAGGTAAAATGAGGACTTGGATTGTGGGGGCAATAAGCTGACTTTGTATAAAAAAGAACACTGCTTAGGGGGGCCTGAAAGCCCTACTAAGCAGGTATATACAAAAGTATGAAGGCTATTGCTTAACGCATTGTAAGCCGCTCTGAGTCTCCGGAGAAGGGCGGCATATAAATCGAACCAATAAATAAATAAATAAATACAATAAATAATAGTTGTAGAAACAGTAACTTGCCACTTGGCTGAGCAGCAAAATAAAATTAAAATAAAATTTTTTTTTTACCTTTAATACATTTGACGGCAGAAAGGAGTGTGTTACATTTCTCATTTTGTACTACAGACTATACATATTCTAAACATATTTTTGCTTCCATTAAATATAATTGATTACAACTTAAGATACTGTTTGCACACAGGTGTCTTGTTCAGTCTTGCATGGCTAATATGGGAAAGTTTTTTTTTTTAATTGAAATAAGAGAAAGTCCTCGTTGGTCATTTTGAGCCACAAAGGATAATCCTTGCCAATGTGAGCTGATTTTGCTATCCCTAGATTGCACACAAATATTGACCATCCAGAAGTAGCTTTAGTGAAATACTTCTATTATTCTAGATTTTGACATCTGTTTCAAAACTTCTTGAAATTTTGTTTTATTTTAAAACATTTCACAATATGAACTTCTTTGAGTATGCAGACTAATTCAATTCACCTGAAGTTAAGACAGCCCAAACTTGGCTAAGAAACATGGAGAGCACAGATGGAATTTTTTAATATATAACTTATGATATTGTTCAGAATCTTTGTGTTTTGTAATGGCCTTTAAATCCTCTGTAATGGAAATTGTTAATTCTTCATTTTTGAAATTGACTATCAGTCAACTAATGTATACTTGTTCATATCTCAAATTTAACTCCCATTTGGCTGCAATTAGCAACATCATTTGATGGTGACATGAGCCACCCTAATCACCCAAGTTGCTATGGGAATTCTTAAGGAAGCTTTTAGCATCTCTGGATGTCTCTTAGATAGAGGACAAGACTGCCAGAAATTAAGTGTAGTACAATAAATCTGCATTTTCCTTTCCTCCATCTTTTTCATTAGAAACAACTTGCTCTTGAGAATATCAGCTATTCTTCAGTTATTTCCCACCCCTCAATCCTCAAATCTCTGTTTCCATAGACCTAAACTTAAATGGGGGGGAGGGGATAGCTTTTAGGAAATGTGGGAGATGCCAGAGTATGGAAGGATGATTATTTTCTCTGTTGAATTAAATCTATTATATCAGACCTTGTTCTTGGACTTTCTCTTATTTCCACATCTTCTTTTATCAGAAAAGGGAGAAAAAAATCTTAATATTACTAATACTGGTGCTTTGTTAGGTGTGGGACCTTCATATTAAGCAGGTGTCCTTTGTATTTTTTGTAAACTTCATTTTCTTCCTGAATTTTTATTACTGGTACTTCTTCACCACAGTGATAGTTTTTAGGAAATCCTGTGGCATTTTGGCATTGAAACTATGATATATAGTCTCCTACTGGCCCTGCAGTGTCCTTTTTTTTTTTTATAGAAGAAAAAGATTACTATAAACCAAAGAAAACTGTTTGACTATCTTTTTAGAATGAGTTTCTCTGGTAGTCAATTATTATGTGCGCTTCTATCAACAAATTAGTCCATACCTAGACTAATAGCTTTTAGCTAATAGTGTGTTTACATAATCATTCATTTCAAGGAGTTCTATATTTTTTTCTGAAACACTGAACCTACAAATGTAGTTAGATATGTGTGTCTTTCATCTTGTTTATATCTTTGATTCTTTCTTCTGAATCTTACAGATTACTTGCTACCTTTGCAAAGATTTGTCCAACGTCCTCAATTAATAAAAATCAATGTCACTATACTAAGTGTTATCATTTGATAGTACCAATTGAAGATCTGATATTTGTGCAAATATTGAACAATATTTTGTAAATTGATGCGGTAAACAGAAACAAGTATCTGGCACATGCTGTGCTGTCCCTTTGGCAGTAAATATTCTTTAAAAAGTATATGATTGTTGCATGCCATTGGTCATGCAAATTTTGCAAGCCACTTTCTGACTTAAAATATGCTTGCTTCTGTATTTGAAATAAATACAGTTGTGCTACATTTGGCATTACTTCTATACCCAATGTAGAAGAGAGCTGTATAACAGCTGACCAGGCAGCAGGTGCAGATACACCCATTACATTGAATCCAAAGCCATCCTAGATGATTGACTCACCGTCCTGAGACTGTATCTTGGGCATGACACAAGCTAGAAAGAATGAAGGGGCACTGCTTTTGCTGCCTTTGGGTTTTTGAAAGTTGAAGCATAGCATTTCTTACAAATTCAGTGTAGCAAATGGTGGTTAATGATGTGTAACTAAGATGCTCATGATGTCTATCTTCCCTGTCCTGGAAAAATAAACATTTCTATTGAAAGTGGAGCAACCAATAGTTCATTATTGAATTCTGGGCATCCATGCTTACCAATTCTGCTTACTTTCTCAGGCATTTTACTCTTCTAGTGACAGGATATTGCATATTTTTACTCTCCTAGTGATTGTTAGTATTGTTCTAATAAAATATTTTGAGAGTTCATTTGAAGGACTATAGCCTTTATGTGCACTTATAGTTTTGCTTTGATCTATGTCCAATCTAGTTCCTAAGTATAATGGCTTTAAACACTATGTTACTGAAGTGTCTATTTTCCAGGGATTAATTGACTGTTTTAGAACTTTTGTATTTGGTGTAGTGTATGACAAGCTTTACATATATTCACATACACAGACTTGTCAGTACGTAGTGTCTTCTAACATTTAAACTTATAATATGGTGGTCAAACAACAAAAAATGGTTTTGTCAAAAAATTGCAAGTAATTTTCTAGCCAAACTATTCTCTATGTTATATATTTTCTCTGTTAGGTTGTGGTTACATAGTGGAAGGGATGAAAAAGATTCCCAATGTGATCTGTATTCGTTATGTGCATTTAGTGTGATTGGTTGAGATGCCTAACTGAATAGTAATTATTCTATGTAGAATACATGCATGCGCCATAAATAGACAAATACCTATAAAGTATATAGTCAAAATTTTGGCATAATGCCAAAATATTCAGAACACGAGCACTTTTTAGGTTGCTCAATCTCTGACCATCAATTTTCTAAATCATTTGTTTCATTTTTACCTATTCTTAATAGAACAATTTGTTTCTAATGTGCAACTAAAAATATATTCTCTTTTTGGCAACCAAGTCAAAAATTGGCTGTCTTCTAAATCTTTAAAATATTAGAAAAGTGCTATCAAATTCTTGTTATATTCTTCTCTTCAAATTAAGCATATTTCACCATGTCCAAAACATCTGAGGAATTTAAAACATGGCTGTGTGTTTTATCTGAAAGATAGAATTATTTATTCTAACATAGATGGATAAAAATGACAAATTCAGTCTAAATAACTGGCTGACCTTGTGGCAACCATAATAATAAACCACTGATTGAATAGGCTAGCAATTGATTGCAGTCTGCCCTCATCTCTAGTTTATAATGAAGCCTTTTCTTGCTCTCTTTACCACTACTCACTGTATTAATATAATCTAAAGCATATATACTGTAAGGCATTGAAAAAGGAACAGTATTGAGATATACATGGGAGACTTTTCCATTCTGATCTTAAAGCAATGTTTTGTGAAGAAATAGAGAGAAAGAGAAGGCCATCCATGGAATTTCATGGGTGTTGGGGGGGTTTGAACTTTCATTCTGCAAGATACCTCAATGATTTGTAACAAATAAAATAACATAAAATATTGGAAAGCAAAAAATTGTATTGATTTTTTTAAAACATAGACATAAATCCCTTGAAAACAATGTGGAAAAGGGGAGATAGGGATGTGGAGAGTTGGAGATTAATAACCCCAAACATATTCAGGTAAGTGAAGAAAAGTTCTATTTTGCATTTTAAAAAAATACCAACTTGCTCTTTATTTAAAATTGAAACATGCATAGATGCTGTTGAAGATATCACTTTCCATTATTTGTAACAAGGCATGTTGTGCATATGGTCAGACTCGCTACCATCTGATGCGTTATCTACTTCCTGCTGTTTTCATGGAAGTCTGAAAAACTTCCCCACACAGACTGATTCTGATTTGGTGAAATCGAGATGTCAGGGGAAACAACTGTTGGATCAAGTGAGGACACAAAAGCCACTGCTGGCACTGTGATGAGAGAGGTGTTCTGATACTTAGTGTATTAAGTCAGCTCTATTCCCATTTAAGAGCCGAAACTAAGATTGTATTGACGTCACAGTCCACTCAGTTGCATTCATAATTGAACTGGATCTTAAGTTTGGCCTCCCTGATCAAATGTCCACATTCAGTTTGATAAACTATATTGCTTCAAAATAGCTCACACAAAAAACAACTGGTTAGATAACTGACTTAGCTAATCATTATGAAGTGAAGATTTCTACGCACACTGTAACAGCATACTGTAAAGCCTACCAAATTAATGGGGGAAAAGGAATCCACTGTCATTACAAGTTATCGACAATAGCAACTCTTGTCTTTCAAATCAACTTGGTGCAATAAGAATTGGCCAATGCATTTGGGTTTTTGCTTTTCATCATTGCATACTAATATCTTTGATCATGAAAAATAACTATGTTGATAAAATTTTGAAGTGCTCTCTTTAATAAAAGGAAAATTTAGAAATACACATGGCAGTTTCAGAACATACCAGATACAATACAACCATGTAATCTACATTAATAGTAACTGAAAGCACAATACAGAGTTTGTACAGGGGGGCTTTTGTTTCCATCAAGTTTTAGGTTACTAGAACCTTCTTATTAAGGTATCATATAAAATGAAGTTTACGAAGATATGCACAAAATATGGAGAACATTTATGTTTCTCAAATTTTTCGTTTTGGCAGACCATATGCTTTACCCTCATATGGTATTTAAAATATTGGGAATGTATTCACACCAAATCTGGAGAGTACTGGGTTGGGGAAGACAAGCAAAGGACTCACTATCTTAGCTGAGTCACATTCAGTCACAGTAAGCAGATGGGGGAAGAGGAGAGCCAAACTCACTACAGTGCATTGTTTGCCCATAACATTCTTTGTTCTGTGTATTTCAAGCACCTAGGCACAAGAGGGCCCTCCAATGCAGGGAGCTCCTCTGATTTCTACCCTGAAAACAGCTAAATCCTAGATCCTCTATAATCAGAAACAAGGAATTAGAACTACGCTCTTGCCTTTTTTTTTTCTAAATAACCCTAAACAATTTATTCTGAATGTAATTTTGGTTGTAATTTATGACACTTCTTTAAGGTTGCAAAAAGGTAGGGAAGATGTATTTTTGTAGAATGGATATGCAAAACTATTGTTTTTCAAAGGCAGATTCAAGCTGGAATTTTGAAAAAGTATTTGAACACTATACTTTTCTTCATGACCAATTTACTGTCCTAATTATCCAGACATATATACCTATTGTCTAGCTAGAAAACTCTCTAATTGTCCTGAATTTTTAACATAACTAACTGGATTTATGTTATTATAGTTATGTTATGTTATTTCTAATATTTATTAAATAAATGTAGAGTCATGACAACTAGCAAAATGAAATAATAAGCAGGCCAAAAGAAGCAGGCAAACACTTCCAGAGATGCTATTCCAGAAAAGCTATCCATCATTTAGCAGCAGTAGATCAGAAAGCTCCAAGAAGTCAATCCTAGTTCCTGGGTCAGTTTATATGACAAGTGAGAAAGTTTATTGTGAAACAACTTGGATCCCAGTTTAAACTCGACTACTACTATCCATGTAGTTTATGCGAATAGTTGAGCATTGCTTTTTTTCCTGGATTTTTATAAAAGCTTTCCAATATAGTTCATAAGACCTAGGATTTCCTGGGTGATCTATCATCCAAATAGCAATAATACTTTTGATTTTTTTTTCCTAAGGCCATTTGAGTTGGCCTTTAAAGATCAAACCTATTGATTCGAATTTAACCTTATAACAAATGGGTAAAATCTGTAAGAAGTGAGAAGTTAAAAAGAAGAAAAACACCTCAGGTCTCGCTTGATTCTTGTGATTACATGAACTTGTCCATGTCATTTTCTTGGGAAAGTACAAAAGAATTTGCCATAATCTTCCAGGATGTTTTCCCCTTTAGTCTACAGCCCTCTCATTCCTGGTATTTTGACATTCAGACAGCAATAGGGCACAACCCTGCTTGACTTTTGAGTCCTGGAGGTTTGCAAAGTACTGTCACCTACTGAGATAAAGTTCAAGTCACACTGGATAATATATGCCAACTTGCAGGCTCCAGTCAAAGCCTGGCACTTAAATTCTGCACAGAGGTTTCCAGAGTTTTCTCCAAAGAAAATTTCTTTCAGAGTGCAGATGTGAATAGTCTAATCAGGAACTTTTTCGGCTACCCTCCAATCAGGGGTGGGTTCTACTTACCTTTACTACCGGTTCGCAACGGGATTGTGCGCACAATCTCACTTTGCTCGCTTGTGCGTCTTGGTTCTTTGCATGCGTAGAAGCTTCTGTGCATGCGCAGAGCGGTCAATGATGACATCCGGGGCGGGGGGTGGGGGGGGGGGGGGGGGGGGGGAGTGGGCCCTCCCACCAGTTTTACTACCAGTTCTTGCGAACCGGTCTGAACTGGGGGCAACCCACCACTGCCTGCAATGTGCTGGGGAGCCTGCTGGGGTCACTGGGCATTACATAAAAACAGAAAATAACTAGACACTTCACATCCTGACATAAATTGTTTCAACTTCTCTCCTCAAGATGCTGCTAGAGGGCACTGCATGCCAAAACAGCTAGACACAGGGACAGTTCTTTCCCCTCATGCCATCACTCTGC